ACTGTGGCTCTTTGTCCTGTGTTACCCAATGTGACGCTAGTTTTCTTTACAAATTCAAGATGAATTGCGTTGCAAAGAATCTATGCGCTAGACGCGTTATGCGTCATACTGCTTAGCCCTGGGTTCTGTTAGCTTGAAATGGTCTTAGCAGTATTTGCACCAACGCTGGTAAATTCAATCATGTGCTTTGTCCATATTTTTTAGCTATCGAGATCATTGTTTCGTCCAGATAGTTTCCTTTCTCCCCTAGCCAAGGATCTTTTCCGTGCATGCCGCAGTGACGAACCTCTGACTTTCACGGACAGACATTGTCCTTGTGTGACCGCTGATGGATTTCTCGTAATGGATAATGTTGCTTTTCACCTGGAAGATTTTGTTGAAAGAGGGGATTACCTTTCTGCGATCCGGTCGATTGCTCATACGATGCGCCTCTGTCAGGATAACTTTTATGTTGATGCTTTTCAATTGAATGCGTACTCCCTAAGTTGGTTAAATATGCCCTTACACTTTGTAAGGCTTCGGAATATTGTTTCAAGAGGCAATCACATTGATCAATTCGTATCCGTTCTGCAACTCATTTCAATGCTTGATTTTTCATTAACACATCTCATCGTGGACGAAAATGGTCGTGTTCCCAAAAATCTTTCTGTAGCTCTAGATGACCCCTGCTTGGTTTCCTTCCTCAATGCTCCAACGCTTTCAATTCTTAAAATTTTATTTGGCCCGGTTACTTCTCTTAATCTGCACATTCGTTTTTGGCATGGATTTGTTTCTCCTGCTGATTTCAAAAATGAGGTTGCAACATGTTTACTGTATTTCCTCTTTGCTCTTGTGCTGTCGATTGATGAACAGTTACTAAGCACTCGCAATAAACCTGTGGTTGTTCAGTCCAAACTATCCGAATGTCTTAAGGCATTCTCGGCGGATCTGTTGCCTAGTGATAATTATTCCCCATTTCTCCGGGAACCTGAATATGTTAATCCTGTTTTCTTGAAACCGTTCGTCGACTTGTTTATGAAACGTCGTTATTTTGATGCAACATGTCTCGGAGTGCTCTGCATTGCCTCAGTGCTTCGAAATGAATTTTGCCAAGTGATAGACTGGCCTGAAGGTGTCCTCAGTCCTGAAGATAACGTCTTTTTGACTTTAACTACTATACTTCAAATGCGGCCAAACAAGTCCATCCCGCGAACTATTGGCCTGGATGAGTGGAAGAAATACGAGCAGTGTATTGGGCCTATTAATTTGCTTCTCCTTGGTGGTGTCTTTTCTGCGGAAGAAGGACCTCTTTTAAGGCGGCGGCTGGCCCACGGCGAACTCTTCGAAATGTCCATTTCCGATTGTGTTACTTGGGAAGGTATTGCGCGACGTTTGAAGTTTTGTATTTTTTTGCTAATGAACCATTTGAGAGGTGGAAATACAGCTTTGATTATCCGTGATTTCGACTTCAGACCAGATATATTCAATCCACTTGCTCATTATGCGGTAGCTTCATGTGGATTGTGGTCTGCTTGGGCCTCTTTTTTTCGAGTGGTTGCAGAAGTAAATCCATTGCCTCTTCCTCGAAGCCTCCTGCTGAAGAGGGGTAAACTGTGGTTTCCGGAACTTCCCGAATGGGATCGTATTTTACTTCATTCAATGGAAGATGCTGTAAGCATTAATAATATACTAACAAGTATTGGCTCGATAAAATGCTTGAACGGAAGAATTTGAAGATATTTTTGATATCAATAAAGGTTCGGTCGTTATCATCTTCCTTAAAGAGGCTTGAATTACTTATTTCTGAAGATGGTACGACAAATCCCGCAAACCAAAACACCTTCAATCAGGTTTACTTAACGTCAATCGGCCCCAATAAAAACTACTATTACCCAAATTGAGCTCGTAGTTGAGCCTGATTTTATTCAGTTGCGTAATTTAGTCTGATTTGCTATCATTTTCCACTTTTCCACAGACAGTGACGCTGATGGTCTTGGTTGTTTTCAATTCGTATCTCTATTCTGCAACCTATTATGTTGGGTTGTATAAAACATTTATTGCTGCAAATTATTACTTAATTTCTTCATTATTAAGCCACTTAATTTGATTTCAAACGTTTTTAATGGCTTTAGAGCATGTTCTTACCTATGGTGGACATATCTCGCTTGTGGCTGTGGAAGGCTCACTACATTTGTGGCCGTAATATGTCTCGACACGATGGTAACCATAGTCCCTTCAAGGTGGCTCAAAGGCTCGTTGGACTTTTACAGCACTTGGAGTCCTGCTCCAAGTTTGCTTTTAATCAGTATTCTATCCTTAATACAGTGCGTTTCTCCAAATTTGCAATTTTGCATGGAAGCAAAGTAATTTTGTGGACAGCATGCATAACTACGACGATGTATAGTTGAGCTTCGAAGGTCTTAACAGATTAAAATTTGGTTGAAAATGCTTATGGTTGCTTCTCCATATTTATATTTGCCCCTTGGTAAAGGGGTTAAATTCGGCTGAGCTAATTTGAGATTTGTGATCAAATTTCAAATCTATTTCTTTTATGTCTGATTTTGCAAAGCATTTGTTCTTCAATTAAGCACCTGCTTCTAAAAACATCATTAATATTTTTTTCGGATTAGTGATTATTTGTTTATACTTTTTTGCATCGCACAATAACTGGACCCATTTGTTTCCGTTTAGTGCCGTGCTCTAATCTTTGAGTCCAAAGCAACTTTGGTCACCAACTTTTCTATTTTAACTGTTTGCTTTTTAGTTTTCTAGTAGTAATCAAAAGGAAGTGGATAAGGCTGTGACGTTTTGCAAAATAATTGTGCCAAAATTACTGGCTGTGTTTTCCGTTCTTGTCCTCTGCTGCTGCCACAAAGCGGGAATATGGAGCACCTGGTTTGCTGGGTCTTTTGTCGCCAATGAGTCTGATACAATTGGACTAGCCAACTTGCCGAAAAGTAACCACGTTCTCATAAATTCATTCGCCACCTTTGGGACCAAACTGGCTTCTGCGCTGGAAAATCAAGACAATAACACCATTAAAGACATCTTGCTGAAGTTTATGATTCCACTGCCGTAACGGAACAACAGCACACGCAGCTGCTTTTGTTGCGAATCCTCAAGTCAGTTTTTATACATTTCACTCATTGTCGAATTATTTTAATGGCCAGAGAATATTATAATTTTGCCTTGTCGACTCCGTTATCTGCAATATTGACGAATGCATGGGCGACTAGGGGGCTGTAATTGCAAGCTCTAATTCCATGTTGGCGGAGGTGACCTCACGTAAGCAACTGGAAGAGGTGGTTTAATCTGGCGAATTTCTCGGGTCTAGAAGACAGACTGGGCGTCAATGCGCTTACTTTGAGGCTGCAGCTGTAGCGTTTCGAGGCTTCCCATAGGGTAGTAGAGGGAATAAGTGAGATTTAATACATGTATTCCGAAGACAACAGGAGAAATGGGCCCTGAGCATGGCCCGAAGGTCGGCCCAAGTGTACGGGGGTCGAAGAAATTCTAAAGTGGCCGCCAAGTGTCCGGTAGTCGCATAAACAATGCATTACAGCGGTCTCATGGTAGCTGTTATCTGACGCAGCTGGCTCGCGTGTGCTTTCCTGGAGTACCTAATATGTTGCGATGGCTGGCGCGAGAAGTGCAGCAAAGGAAGCGCCAAACCTAGCCCAAAAGTGGGGAGGGCCAGTGTAATATTTGGTTTGGGTGACTACCTGGTGTCTGGCGGCTACCTTAAGATTTGTCTTGCTTCTTCCACCCGGAACGCTACAGTGATTAACATCACACCCGTATTAAATGTTTCCTTTTTTCGTTCAGCGGATTACGGATTGAATATCTCCAAAAAGCAGGTTCACAGAAGTATTGTCAGCCTATTAACAGGAAATTTTAGCTTAGTATAGGGTTTACGTCTGCGTTTTGTTGTTTATCGTAATTGAATTTATGTCTTGCCACTTCTAAGTTTAAAATAGTTTTAACAAATTCAAAATAAACGATTTAAAAGCCCTTTACTAGCACCATATAATTTTTTCCTGGTGTAATTTTGCGTCCCTTTTGAAAGGCACGGTTTGTTTCCGCTGTTGGTATTTAGTGTCATTTTCGTTTAAATATACCACTTTGAGGAATCGCTGTACACGCATTGCCACTTGGACTAAGAGTCTGGTAGGGATGCCTGTACCGAAAAAGAAAACCAAGAACTCGTCGTATTTCTCCCACGAATTTATCATTGCGAATCATGGGGACATTGTTAGCGTCATCGCTATGGTTTTTATTGGTGGCATGCTATTTCCTGTAAGAATTCTGATCATTTTTCTAGATAAAACGTGTAATTTTTTTACAGGCACACTAAATGACTGTATTTTTACCTTAAGGGTCCTTCACGAATAGCCTCTCTGTTTGTAGCGATGCAGCATAATGCGAGCAACGAAAGTACGTATATTGCAAAACTCATTATTTCTGATCTAGAAGAAGTTGATAGTATGTCCGACGTTGTATACACCACTGGACGATACGATTTACTGGCCATTTTCTTCTATACACTGATTTGTATAATTATGCACGCCGTTATTCAAGAATACGTGTTAGACGTAGGTAGATGTTTGGCTTACTTTTTTTTTGCAGAAAATGTCAAGAAGACTTCATCTCCCTCGATTTATGCAATCTAAGCTGAACGAATCTGGACAGCTACTGCTCTTTTACATGTTTTCTGTCTATTGGGCTGTTTATGCTCTTGTAAACGAGCGCTTTCTCACGAGCTTAGATGGACTCTGGTCAGGCTACCCTCATGCTGTCATGCCCTTTTGGATAAAAGTTTTCTTCATTGTGCAGGTTTTTCCTCTTTGTTGTCGACGCTTCTTTTAGATTAGTTATTGGCTACACAACTTCCCTGAACTTTATTTTCAAAAGATTAAAAAAAACGAAATGCCAAATCGAATATTTTATTCTTCGCTCTTCCTTATTGGTGTTTCCGCTGGATATTTCATGAAGTAATTTTTGGTTTGTTATACATTTTTTAGCTTTTCCAAACTTGCTATGATTCTGGTTATTTTGCACTATTTTACTGATTCCTTCTTCCACTTCTCACGTTTGATGAAGTTCTATGGCTACATAGCAGCTGTCAACTTCGGGTAAATTCGCATCTTGTTTTTTTCTTAATTTGTGCGTAGGTTTGCGGTGTATAATGGACTATACATATTTTCTCGCATCATGTGTTCTGTACTAGCCTTCCTTACGTTCTAGTAAGACATTATTCATTAGTTTACGAAACTAGTTACGGTTTGCCGCAACACAGCATCCCGACAATGAATATTGCCAATGGAAATTTTAACACATGTCTCATCCGGTAATTTTACTTGCAATGTAAATTTTTATGTTTGCTTCTACCATCTTTTCGACTTGTAAACGTTTAAACATGGTTCCATTGGTTGTTGCAGGTTAAATTGTATGCTGTTCGTATTGTTCACCCAAGCTCACATGGTGTGGACTTTCAGCAACTATCACTTCACTAAAATGCGTGAAAGGAAAGCTCAACAGCATGCAAATAATGTGTACATCACAAACAATGATCTGCAAAAACGCAAAGACAAACAGCAGAAGAAGGGTAACCAATATTGTAAAGATTGCTTGATTTTTACGATCGTAAGCCTTACTTTCTATGGTATCTATTTTAAGCCAAGCAGGAGGATGTAAGAGAATCTCCGAATCACAGCAACAATGGCGTTAAGCAAAAGAAACAAAAGGCGCAATAGTTCTTGCTCTGGAGGAATTGGATTTTTCCTTAAATTAACGAACACTGTCACTCCGTCCAACAGTGTCTTCATCCAATTTGTTACCTGCCTTCATGCTGCCGGACCCTCCAATATGATGCTTTGGACTCGTCTCAGCTCTTTTGTGGACTAGATTCCTCCATGTACATGTCCTTACTAATCTCGTAAATCCTCCCTTTTGGTTATGTTAGCCTCGTTTGGTACAACTAAAAATTTCTCAACCCCTACTTATGCCTACAGTTGCTCTTGTCACTTCCACTTCCCCTTATTTGACAACCTCGTTTAATTGTGAATATACTGCTTGTGTACTTATGTGCTTTTTTTTGGTATAGAGGGTTTCACTTTGATCGTGCTTTCAAAGTTTGCTCTTCGAATCTTCTTTTAGAGTACTGACTATGAGCCGCCAGTCAATCGTGGTTGACCATTTGGGTTGGGACTGCTCGCGCGGGAAGGTGTGCTCATTTCAAGGAACCGATCTCGCTGCTGTTAACCGAAGACGGAATAGCTTGAGTCAACGTGTAGCCTTCCGAGTTTACAACAAATTCCTATCCGTTTTGCCAATATTAATGTAACAAAGACATGGAACAGTCGGTGCCAATCATACATAAAAAGTATTCAATTCAAATAACTGTGGTGTACAAACAGGCAGCGGATGGGTGACTTCTTACTAACAGCACCCAAGTTAGAGGGAGGAACATATCTAGGATTAACAAAGGCAGATTACACATGTCCACGATTTAAGAATTTTTTCACACGGAAGATACGAACTATCCAGTTCTCGGTGGTAAAAGCTTCCTCTAACGTTTCCAATTCAAAGTCTTTGTTTCCAATTACGGCATTTCGGACGCGGTCATAACCAGGCGGGTGGTCTATAATAAAAGGAATAGTAACAATTTTAAAAAAGAACAGAAATTCACGGCTAGTTATTTAAAATGCATGTTAACAAACAAAAAAATGCTGTGCCCAGGTCACATACAACATTAGCAACTAAGAACATTGTCAGTTCTTGGAAAAAGAACAAAAAAGTGTCGCTGCAATTCGCAAGAGCACTACTCGGTTAATATAAGACCGATGTTGGGAGATTAAATCATGAAAGATAGGGGGATGTTTGTTTTCCAAATGTGTTCAAAAAAGGAACATCAAAATAAGGCAGAGGAAAGAGGAGATGTTAACGTACTGGGTGAAGTGTACTTCTCCCAAAATCGATAGTAAGACATTTTGTACAGAAGGCAGTTTAGGAAGACGGACGACCCCTCCTTGTCAATGCGATACTCTCCAGTCTTACTAAAGTAATCCATTTCTTTGACATGCCGGCCCTTCTCAGTGCTACCTGCGATACGCACCATCCACAGAAATTTGTTGATGTCTGGAATCGAAATGCATCAGCAAGATTTAATGTGATACCTGCAAAGAAGTGTTGGTAATGCCAAAAAACAACGATCAAAGACTTTGGCCTTAATCCCGACTCGGTAGTGTTAGTGTCTGGTTGTTTCAAACTATGATTATAATCCTTTGAACTGTAGTGCGATGCTACTGTTAGGTCAAGCTTTTGAAATAGTTAGGAGATAACGATTAGCTTCTGAAGAGTGGGTGACTTATCAGTGTAATAGTTGCAATAACACCGGAACCCAAAACATTACCATCAGACGAATACGAGGAAGCACCTCCAAAAATGACTAGGACGTAGTCCACATCGAGCTCACGAAGAATTTCGTATGCTTCTTCCTCGCTGGAAGCCATAGCCTGTCCAACACGTCCGATGTGAGTGTTATTCCACGTGTTATTGTCCACCAGTACAGTGCGATTTGCAATAGCTGTTATCTGGTAGCCATAATCCCACCATGACATTATCTTTGCGTCCTTGACAAGTATAAAAAAATACGCAACGGCTAAACTACAATAAAACCACAGGAGAGGCGCAATGTGACTCCGACTGTAAATAATGATAAAAAACTCACTAGAGGGGTGTTTTGCCGAAGCCAGTAGTAGGCCTCGCGATAGTCATCAAAAAGGACTGTTTCACCGTTTGACCGTTGAGCAGCCATGACGATGCTGGGTGAGGAGTAGGCGTTCGAGGTGACCCAAATACAGTGCTGGCTGTAGAGTGCCAGAACTATTATAACTGCGACAATCACGACAGAGGCGACCTATCTCCGCGAAAAAGAAGCGACAGTGACGACTCAAGGAAGTTTATGAACACAAAATTGGTCATGAACATTGGATTTAAGGAACATCTCGGAATCGAGTGATTTTCAATTTGTACTTGGTGATGACTTACTTGACTCTTGAAGGGATACGTTGGATCGGAAAAGTTGCCTGTGATTGAACTTTTAGCTTGTTTGCTAGAAGGCGGGGGACGTTTCTGAGGTAAAGCACCGCTCAAGTTGGCACCTGCAGTGAGGATATCACGGGTAGACGTTCCAGTGATCATGTTAGGCAGGAAAGTTCGGAGGATATTGGAAACAGCCACACCAGAGAGGATGCACATAATGGGAGCCAAAACAAGCATCAATCGTACCATCACACCCTATAAACGTTAAAATAAGATTTGAATTGGGACGTGATTGTTCCCTGGAATCTACTACCTGAAATGGAAGGTAGTACAAACATTAAAGACAAACCTTGAAGTTTTCAAATTAAAAAAAAATTGATTTATCCATTATCATAAAAGCACTTACGGAAAAGTAGAGGCTCAATACACCATATATGATAACGAAAATGCCTGCGTCAGTCATCCTTTTGAAGCAGTAGTACAAACCGACTAAAAATTTTGAAAACCAGAGCTACCCACAAGGAATATAAAAATGAATAAAATATTTATAAAGCTGTAAAAACTAAAGTTAACTTGCAAAAGCAATTGGAGCAGAATCGAGAATAGTACCGGGAAAGAAAACAGTCATGAAGTGAAGATCAAAGAAGTAAGAGCTCCACGTTGTTGGTTGATGTTCCGAAACGGAAGCGATAATGGGCAAGTGGTTTTTGGCGTAGCTCAAATCCAAGAGAGAATAAAATCGACCCGTCCATGGGGAGATTTTTCCTGCGGAAGATTATTACGAAAAAGAATTAAGGTCAAATGAAAAAAACATGCCTCATATCTGAGGACTCTGGGATTAGAATGCGAAACCATAGTCAATATATTTAGACTCCGCTGTTTTCAGTCTACTGACAAGGCCCAAAACAGGAAAAATGCCTACCTGAAAAATACAGAACTCCTACAGCAACGCACAGCATCAAACCGAGAGTAGATGCAGCAAATCGAAGAATCTGATAAAAACACTCCTCCGTTGTTCGTGTTTTTAAATAGTTGGCAAAAGTGATAATTTGACAAAAACCGAATACTCCAAGAGCCTACACACAGAATGAAATGTATGTAAAGGAAAAATTACCCCCATGTGTTCACTTGAAAGGACGGGCAGAAAACCAACAAAGCTGATTTGCATAGACAAAAGGGTACCGATACAATAAAACTAGAAAAGATAAACAAAAATCGAAACCTACAATTGAGTAAGCAACGTAAATACGATGAGAAAAGCGACCAGATATCATGAGAGCAAGCACATGAATGGGTATCGTGTTGAGCAAGAACACATATCCTCCCCAGGATGAAACCTAAAATTGCCTTTAAAATTGTCGAAATACCATGTAAAAGTAAGCGATACCAGTCAAGACCGAGGAAACGATTGACCCAGTATTCACGGATTTGACCCAAAAATAGAATGTTAAAAGCATGCAAAAAATGGCGATGCCTTCGTTATCATAAGACCCGGCGACTGATCGGCTGGTGTATCCAGGAACAATGGATATCATAGCAGAAGCCACAAGCGCTGATGGCAAATCCACCGCCTCTTTTGTGAGAAGAAAAGTAACAAAAACGGTGAAACTGCACAAGTTAATAGTGGTAAAATTAACCAACCATGAGAATGCAGGAGCAAGAAATACGCATATATTGCGGATGTCAATCGTAAGGTTAATCAGGTGAAAGATTCGAAAAAAAAGAGTAGCGGTAACCATCAGGCCGGGATAAATCGTGCCACCAATTATGCGACCAAGAGGATACCATGCCATATCATCAAACCAATTGTGAAAGTTGTAAAATCCCTCTTCGGTCATAAATTTCGTTGTTCGATAGTTAAAATATGGGTCGAACTCATGTATCATCGATTCAAATCGTAAAACAGAGAAAAGCCTGGTCAAAAATGCTACAAAATTTAAAAAGTCACATTGTACTTTACCTATGATTCCAGACAGACAAAGGGACAAAATAAGCAGGAGAGTTTCCGTTTTCTTATGTGAAAGCATCACAGATACTCGACACCAAATCCTACACACCGAGCCGGCGATGTGTTTAACTAGGTCGCTCAACCATACGTCATAGATCTTGATTATTTATAAAAAAATTTGCGTTAATGAGTCTAAATGAATTACAATAAATATGAAAATTTTAAAGAAAATAAATCAAAAAATTTAACATATGTGCTTGAAAATTAGCAGTATTGCTCGTCAAAAAACACATGGCCATTGACTTTAATGCCTTAAAATTCCACTATACGAATAAAAAGAAAATTAAAAAGCAAAGAATCGTTAGACAATGTAGATGTTTGGCTTTAAAAGGCGGAATACACCAACCTTTTCAATGTGCAAAAGGATACATGCAGTTGAAAAGTGATAAATTAGCCCAAAGACCGTGCTTAAGGGGTCGACTGAAGCGACACCTACACTAAATTTTATCGTCGCGAGACTCGTAGCTAGAATCAGAAGTCATTAAACGCAGCTTATTGGCCTGAGCATGATCCAATCCCCAGCTCACGTGCACAAGGGCCTGACAAATCCTAAAGCTATCGCCAAACATCATGTGGTCACATAAACAAAGTATTACACTGCCTCTTTCTTCTTTTGAGCAACGTCCTCGACGCTCCCCTTTGGTACACCTCCCGCGCCAGCCATCACA